TTTTGACCTTTTCTCATTCAATATTCAGCCCAAAAGGCACCTGCAGAAAGGCATCCATCACTCATACTCGTGGTTTCCCTACAAAAGAAATCAGATTAAGAGAGAGAATTTGTGGGGTGGCCTACAAAGATTAATCTGCATCAACTTTATTTACAAGTAAACGTATAAATATTAAATATGCAATAATTGAAGAAAATTTCAACAGCCACATTAGGCAAACACTAAGCACAATCTAAACCACCTTTGACTTATTAAATGCTTTTGATAAACAATTATATATCACCACCCAAACATGCACAGTGTTCTTGATTTTTGTTCCGCTGTTCATACAACTTTCTGATAATGCCATTTTTTCTCTGTTTGAAACTCTCTGTCACCTCTGTACAATTTTCTTCATTTTCGTTGTCTCGTGCGTAATCCTGGTCCCTACTAGCTTTTGAATGAGTCGTTCGCCCAGTCTTTCTAGGCTTACAGCTCATGTGTATACGTATACACACACACACACAGAGTAAACTTTCTGAGATAGAATAAGGGTTCTAAAGAAATTTGTGCATGACAATTCATACATATAGTGGATGGGTGAAATTAACCCTACTGTTCCCTTTTCCCCATATCTCTCCCTCTCGGGTGCTGTCCAGAGGATCGGAGCTGCCAAAATAAAAGAAGAAAAATGCATAAGATGTGGCCACTCCACCAAATATTGCATGTTAAACCTTATAAAACATTTTCCCCTTTTCTTCTATAATTGCTTAATAGCCCCCTGAAAGGCCACTATTTTGCATTATATTAGTATATATTATATTAACTTGACTTGACTAAATGGATTGGAATATAACAAACAAGCCTTCGAAGAACTAATTTGCCATCTGCGGCTTCAATCTGTTTCAGTACCCTTTTCAAATGTTAATTCAAAAGAGATTTTAAACATTAAGAAAAGAAAAGAATAACTCGCATACTGGCATAAGAATTCTATAATAGAGAACAACGTCTACAATAAACATAGAGCAATATCCAACGTTTAACAACAAAAGATAGTAAAGACCGAAGAGATGGTCGATACAACTTGAGCTCTATCTTCCGAACAAAAAAAACAAGGAGTAATTAGTGAGTCGGGGCTACTTCAGCGCAACAATCCAATTCATTTTATCCTCGGTAAGTCCCATTTGTAGGCTAGTAAGTGCTGAATATAGTTGTTGTGACACAAGGCCAACTCCGTCTCTTCCATAACTCACTCTGCACAAGGTATAACACATGCTGTTACGACATTATGGATGAAGCTAATGAACTCACTTCGATACCGTGCATCAGAAGAACAGGTTCTAAAAGCGCTTTCATTCAAGCGGATAAAGAGCACCATTTTTACCCAAATGATTGTGTTGCTTATAGAGGAAAGACTTCCGCACAAACTTTTCCTTTCTAAACCCCGCAGCCCCACCACATTACATTACCCTGGCCTTCTCAAACTGAAAAGTTCATTGAAAGGGCTCATGTAATAATAAGAAATAGGTTCCAAAAAAATGCAAGAATCAAGAGAGTCTGCTCTTGACGGAAAGTTCTACCGTAACAAGACTTAATTTTCTATAGCAAGCAAATGCCATGATTTCAAATTCGAAGTTTTATGTGATTTCCAAGTTCTACATATCAAGTTTACACTTGAGGTAATTCTTAGATGGATAATTAAATTAAAAAGAAAAAAAAATAACATAAAAGGGTGAAAACGAGGAGAAAAATATACAATTTTATGGGAAAGATAAATTGAATCTGGATTGTGTGTTAGTTAATTCCTTATCATAGAGCATCGTGCAACTAGTAGATAGAAACTACCTTTTACCCAGATAAGCTATACTGCCTACAGGGGATATAACCACAGCTGTTCCCGTACAAAAAACTTCATCAGCATCAAGCAATTCATCAACTGTTATCAAACGTTCCTCAACCTACATATCAAGAGAAAAACCCTATCACCCACTTAGCTAATCCTGGTAAGCTTCCTCAAAGAATGTGCTATAGATTCTATTGCAAATTATGTGAAGGTTGTTATTTCCATGAATTTGATCGATATGCATGGTTATAACACGCCAGTGAGATCATAATTTGTCCCTCTTAGAAACTACAAGAAGTTGTGGACCCACGTAAAGGGGCTAATAAACCAAGAAAACCATATATTATCTATGGGATCCACTACTATTAAATTTGTCAAATGGAGGATTAACGTTTTAAAAGCTCAGCAAGTACCTGATATCCTTGACTGACAGCAACATCAATTATACTCTTTCGTGTAATGCCGGGTAGGATGGTCCCTTTTATTGCAGGAGTAAATATCACATTACCCTGGAATAGTTTTTTATTTGAGATTAGCTTTTACATTTGTAACTTTGTGATGGTGATGATGATGATGATGATGATGATGAAAGGCCCATCCAAGGCATTTAAATTACTGAAGAATGTGTATCACGCAATTATAATCCAATAATGTCAATGATAAGGAACCAGACGATGTATACTTGCATGATAGGTTTTACTAATTCATCCATTTATTCAGATACATCTACACCTCATTATGCAATCCAATTACAGAATCAGTACTAGAAACAAAAACGACACAATCCCTTCTTTTTTTTT